TTTCACTGCTCTCCCTTCCAACCTTTCTCTCTGTAGCCTGCTTCTCTCTTCTTGTCTGGATGGGGGGTTAGTTAAGTGTATTATTTACCCCTGCCTGCCCCCGTGGAGTGGTAACCACACAAAAAGGAGGGCCTTCTCCCTGAATTGCACCGCCAGCAATGCCTCTAGGTCTTACCATTGAAGTAAAGCTTTTAGATGTCTGCCACTAAAAGCCCAAATACAATAATCCTACATAAGAAATACTTTTGCCACTTTATCTACTTTAACTCAAACATGATACCGGAAATCAGAGATACAAGATGATTTAATTGTGTTGCAGAAAAACTGGTAATTCATGTTGTATGAGTCGAGTGACTCCTTGTTTTGGATTTGGGATATGAAAAAAGAATTCTAAGGAACAATTAGATTAGAACAAATATGTTCGACAATGAGTGACCTGTGTGCAAGAAACAATTACATGATTAACAGACGTATTTAGGTCTCCTATTGAAGAAGAATTTAGCACAATAAAAGGGCACTGTTAATGCAATAAATCTAGAATTTAGTGCAAACCCCTGGCATTTGCAGTCAATCCATAAAGCTTTGGTTGTGCAAGAGGTTTTGAGTTACTGTGCCAAAACACACAACTGAGATTTGAAATTATCAGAGCAAAAATGAACATTCATTTCAGCTGGAATAGCACAATTGAGACAAAACATCTCCAACACTGTATAAAAGATGTGTTATAGTGCACTGAATGTTTGGTTTATATGTGTAAATCATGTTTGCACCTTCGCAGATTCAGTAATGTTTGTCCTCTTTCATGATTTCTATGAGCAGTCTAAACACTTTTTAAATGCAGTGTGTATAATAGTAAAGGCTCAGATGGCAGCAATCATGAAGGGTGTTCCTTTCAAAGTCAGATACATTTGAGGATGGCACCTCGAATGAAAGATGTTTCTCAGCTAGACAGTCACGAACTCTAACACAACACTGCAAAAGACAACTGAGAAGTTGATGTATAATACAAAATAGAGCAATGTTATGACTTATAATGTGGACATAAAATTACATGAAAATGTGTGCAAATCATAAGCACCTGTTCTCATTATTGCTTGGTTCTTGCCTTCTTGTCAGGTTGTTCGTTGAATAGTAAAAAAAAGTGAAACAATCAAGTATGTCATACATACATACATACAGTCCTCATTGATGTTAAAAATGTTTTAAAGAAGCATATACAAACCGACATCAATGTGATGAAACTATGAAGTATGAACGTTGTGCAATCAGACAACTGAATTTGAATATGGTGATCGCAGATTGTAAAGATGTTACATATAACACTCCTTTGTAAATTCAGCTTTAAAATGTAACGCTTCATACGCTTGTGGCGATATAGAGGTTATCAGAAAGAAAAGTCAGCTGAAACATACTGGCTATAGAAGTTGCGATGGGCTGAAAATAATGACAATTTAAACACATGCTTGTCAGTACCAGGGCATGCCTATTCCATACTAAAGTCTATATGTTTTTCTGTCATTTGGTTTAGGAAGAACATTGAACATTGAAGGTGTTCTCTTCTCATTAAAGAAAGATATTTGGTAGCATCTTTCTTATAAATATGTGCAAACCTAATTTGTCGTTAATTATTGGCATTGCTGCCTGTTTATAACTAGAATGTGTGAATCCAGGGGAATCCATAACCCTAAATAACATTGTAAAGAAATGAAAAGAAAGGTGAACAAGTTACATTTGCAATTTTAGTCTAATAGATAAATATTTTTGGCACGCATGTACAGCCCTATTTGCATGTTACTATAGCATAAAGAAACACTACAATAACCTGCTCACAGAAGTAGTGCTCTTTAACACCATTAGTAGCAAAATAAATCCAAAGTGTACCATTAACAAAAACAATAGCAACAGCCTTTGAAACATAGCAGAGATGTTGATCCATACACTGTGTTTTATTTTTTCGCTTTGTCTACACAGTGCACATTATTGCAATACACAATTAACAACTTATTAATTCAATTCCAGTGTAGTAAAACCTTGACTATATATATCCTTTTAAAGAGGATATTCCCCAGAGCTCCCAGAATTGATTAGGTTTAAAAATCCCTGACAATTTTGTATTTTCTTTTCATCAGCGAGAAATCTGTTAGTTATACCGCGTGAAACAAAAGTACTGTTGCTGTTATTACCTGCAGTATGATATACAATCCACATCAATAAAGGATGTTGGTTAAACAGTAGACAGTATATTTGTTTGGGGTGTCCTGCTATACAATTCTAATCAGTACCTGACAGTATTACATAGCCAAAGTGTAACATTGTAATTATCAAACGGCTGAAGATGTTCTGAAAATTGTGAAAATGATTTCAATTTATGTATAAATGATTTTAAAGGCAAGTTTCAAGAATGAGTTCACACATGGATGTCTGTTATCCGGGACCAAAACATCCTTACTTTCATCTACATGATGTCAAAACTCTAAACAAATATTTTGATGATGAACTTGCCGTGTATACCACCTTTTGTGACTGTTAACACTCTCTGCAACTGAAAGCCACAAACACAATGAAGCTCTCGAACAGGGGAAAGGGGGGGTGCCTGGTGTGCAAAATGCGTGTGAAGATGAAGAACATGTGTGACATCACCAGTGAACCCTGAGTGACTCCTTTGCAGTCTGCCTTTGTGCCTCTTTTTCGCTGCCTCTGACGCAGAACCGTGTCATAAATACTGAGAAAAATCTTCAGTTCAGAGAATAACCCTTTTCAAGATTTGAGAACATCAACAACTGCTCTTCTCTACATTATGAGTTTAACCACTAATATTGTAAGCCATCATACTATTCTAGTAAGATCCATCCCAGCATGCAAAGGGAAGAACACCTTAGACAGGTTGACAGTAAGGTGCATCACAGCCATTATATAAAAACACATCCGCACCAACATTCACCACGTTGACATAAAGGTGTCTTAGCATGAGGCTGGCTAATCTGTTCAATTTTGTCTATATTTTTCCTCAATATTGATTAAGACGCCTATCAGATATTCATCTGGTAATTCAACACATTCACTAACTACCAAGTTTTTGTTGTTGTTTTCCCACAGTTTCTATACTACTGTGAACAGTTTACGTTTGTGCAATTTCACACAGTGTAAAATAAAGTCAACAGCTTGATGGAGATGTGGTAAGGCAAATTAGCTTACATGGTCTGTTTAGTTAAATAAACAGAGTCTTGTTTTTTTACACTCCAATGGAAAATAATAAGGTGTAGTACTTTTCTTTCAGTTTTAAGCCCCATTTCTGAATATCTCAACACTTAGTTCCAAAAAAAGATGTTAATTTAAGTTTGAATTGGAATCCTATTATTAGGATTGTTTCTGATATACAATTAGGGCTGAGATTCTTTCAAAAATATTTCATATCAGAATTTCTGTTGAAGGATATGCTTGTTGTCATCAATTTGAACTATGTATCACAATATCTATCTCTCATATATCTATCTCTCATATATATATATATATATATATATGTTATATTTACAATCAATTATTATATTGCATGTTTGCCCAGCCCCATACAATCTTGTCTTAGTTCATATATTTATTTGGTAAAATTAAGTGCCTGCTGGGATCTTATTTTTGCAGGAAAAAGCAAAAGGTGAAATGGTGTATGGTGTATGGTGTGCATGCAAGGTCCCGAATGATCTATTTATCTATTTATTTATTGTTTCATGCTCTTTTAAGGCCTTTGTGACTGCTAATCGGCTAATAGCCTAAAAAATGAAGTGGGAAAACAACTGCTTGAAAAAGCAAAACTGAGGCACACGTGAGATACAATTTAGTTCTCTTATCGTCTCTTTTAGTTCTCTTATAGCAAAGCTGGGAGGACTCAAAAGCAATGCAGGTGTTGTTGGCTCAGTCAACTGAAGAACTGTATGTTTGATTTAAAATATACTTTAAAATAATATTGACAGAAATGTTTGCTTTAATCTACACAGAAATTAAGACAGCAGCTTGTATCAGCTCTTTCCTTCACAACTTATTATGTGCAACATGATAGTTTTCATTTAGAATGGATATCACTTGATATAGGTGTATTGGTTTACAAAACAAATGCAAAGTAGTAAGGAGGATAACTTTACAGTGGACCTGTAAGCTACTGTATGTAAACAGACTGGTTTTATACAGCTTGTGCTGGCTTGTGTATACAAGCAAACAAACAAAACGAAGAAACACCCGCTGAATGTGGACACTGAATAATCCCTGCCAGGCCTCACCATTATTTTGTTTTGTTGACTGCTTTAGTCAGGTGGGACTGTAGGCCACAACACTTGCTTTGCTCCTAGTTGTGTTGTTATTGTGACAGCATGACACTCATTTCATTGATTATCTTGTATATTGGCTTAACTTCACAAATTAATATATTCCCCCCATAAATGTAGATAAACATTGCTGATGTCATAAAGTGTTTAAGGCAATTAAACTGCACATTTGAGCACCTTCATCCCACAGGTTTTACCCCATATTACGATTGTTGTTTAATTGTATCTGATGTATTCTAATTCATGGCAGATAAAGTTATTATATTTTATTATATTATATTATATTATATGAATTTCTGATAGAATGCTGATTCTTAATTTTAAGTATGTGTAGGCTATAAAACACACCTTTTCATAATTTGTTGAAATACAGAAATGATGCAAAAGCCAATATACTACTTCCACTACCAAATGTAATCTTATTAAAATATTTTACCAGAAAAGCTCACCTACCAGGAATGTACTTATTGCATCTAATAATTGTGTTAAGCTGATTTTGTTCTCAGAGGGAATGTTCTTTTTCTTCAGCAGTCAGTAGTTTGATTTGCTTTGAGAGCTTTATCATGACATAATAAGACTGGGTGTTTTCCTCCTCTGGTGCACATGTGCACTCGGGGTAGCAGTGGATGATCAGCGGGCCTACTTTAGAACAATAACAACAGACACGGTCCTGCAGGGAGCACCTACCTGTTCTCTGGATATGCAGGGCAGCGAAGGTCTGCGAGGCATTTTACAACTGCCATAATAGCTGGTCGACGTTTCCCCAAGTGAAACACAACTGGACCTTCTCCTAGGTCTGATCACTGGGACCTTTTCCTCCGCGGTGGAAATCCCACTCGGTGCTTCCCTCGACGGGTAGTAGCGGTCAAAACAGAGCCCCAACAGGGAGCCCGAAACCCCCGCAAAGCAGGCGAAGAGAGGTCGGAGCAGTGCAGGCAGACCGCTCAAACTTGTGAAAGAAACCAGCCACACAACGCTGGCAAAAACCAGGATAAGAACACTGTGTTTGAGTTTCAGAGTTGGAATCAGTGTGAGCAGACCCACACATCCCAACACGAATAACAACCTGCCCACCATTTGCATCTGGTGTTGGTCCTCTCCCCATTGCAAAAACCGCAAAACAAAAAAATCCCCGAGGTAACACGATGCTGGTAGTGACAGGAGCCAACATTTACTGCTCTCCTTCTTTTTCCTCCTCAGGTAAAAGGTGAGAAAGAAAAAAGCACATCCTATGCTGAATAAAGGACTGATGGACTGGGATAAGCCCGACAAAAAAGTCCGCAAATCCCACAGCGAGTCACTTTGCAAGCTCCTAGAAATGAGGAAAGAAACTGCGAAGAATACAAACGCGCCGACGTAAAGGGCAGATATCTTTAACAATTTTGAATTAAGAATGTCTTCGTTGGAAAACCTGCACACGTTAAACAAAAATCCCCTGTGATGGTCCTGTTTGAGAGGGGTGACGCAGCTCTTCACATAGCCGTTCCTGAAGCCCTCTGAGCTGTTTACACTTCCAGCTCCGTCGTGGTGCCTTGTTTTACTGTGCAAAAGCTCTCCTTCCTCCCGTGCAGACATGGCTCGACTGTGCCTCCTCGTATCCACGCTAAAGTCCCCCTCTTCTAATATTCACGCCGTGTTAACGCTGAACTACATGACAGCAAATGCACTCCATGGTCACTCAAACGTGCTCCAGCACTTGGACTAAAGAAAGAAGGTGAGATGTTGTTTTTACAGAAAAGGGGCTCCATGTCGCCGCCTAGAGGCCACACACCTCAGTGCTTCGTAAATGTGGAGCTCTGAACCAATCCTGAGCTGCATCATTATTATAACCTACCGTAATGTAATCAAATCACTGATCCGCAGTTAATGAACACACTTTTAAAACGTTTTCATTGAAAAAAGAAAATGGCACCAAAACTGACACTTGTTTTCCATACTGCCCTCATGGAAAATGTACAGTCACCTTTGCATAAAGAAAATCCACATTTATATAAAATAATGTAGCCCTGTTGCCATATACAACATTGTAATAGCCAAGGACAGTCACTTTTTGGAGTCAGCATTGTATATAGGTTTTTAACATTGATTGATCAGTTTACCTGGTGTTCATTTAAATGTAGCTTGCCTTCTAATGTGTTTTTTGTAATGCTTTCTGGATGTAGTGCTTTGTGTTTTAATTTACACATTATAATAGCAGATCTTGCACATGCAAGCCAAAGAAAATGTTCTGCTATTTTTTAGGCAAATAAGTAGACAGTTAAGTATTTTCTATTTTATTTTAATATTTACAACCTTCTAAATTGTAAGTGTATTTGTTTCTGGTATTTATTTGTCTATGTTAATAGTAGACAATTTGAATATGACTATTTTAAATAGACAATTGACTTTAGTCAACAGTTCCAGAGTTTGTCACACTTTTGAATGTGACTACATCGATTCGCATATGGTTTGCATAAGCCTGGAAATAGTCTATTTAGTTTTAAAGTAAAGTCCTATTTTTTGTGTTAATATTATTTGTTTTGATCAGAAGTGTCACCATTGCGTGTCGCTCAGGTGTCGCTGCATCATGGTGCTCTGGGATCGTTTGCATAGCCTGCCTTCAGTCTGGTATGAAGATTATCGATTTAATAGATCAGCAAAACAGTGTAACCGACTTTAAATGCCGAGTTGTGGCAAAACAAATTGTTAACGTATTTTGCGATAAAAATGCACAGACAAAGGTTGAGTTGATGTCTGACGAAACATGGCCAACTAGCATAATACATACAAGCTTTCCCATAAGTAAATTAGCTTGTTGACATCCTAACATTAACATTGTAACATGATAGACCCAGGAGTGCCTGAATTAAAGACTACTATTGATCCATGAGAGCTGCCAACTTGAACAAACACGTTCATAAAAGTACAAATTAAAATATACGGCTAAAATCTAAACCTAAATAGTCGTATCAACGTTAACAAGTTGACAGCATTTAGATAAACCTCTATAATGTAATTAGTTACACCTGTGTATCTGCTGTCATGACAAGTCAAAATATCAGATGTGAGAATAAGTCAAAGTAAAAGCAAGGCAGTTAAATGCAAATTTCCTTACAATGCATACAGCAACAAAAATGTTTCATATATCTTACAACAACTCACCTGGCTTGCCAATAACTCACTGCTCTATAGTTTCTCTTTTGTTAACTGGACTTATAACTCAAAGTACATTTTACATTTATATTTAATTGAATGTCTTCTTGCAAAGAAAATGTAAATAATATCCCACTTTTATATTGTGTTAGCTGTAATTCAGCCCATCAATAGTTTTTTATTTGTCAGATAGTTAACATATTTTTTTCTTACGGTCAACTTTTATATATTCAATATTTTAGTTTTATTTGGAGATGTTTGGATTGTATAATTGTTTACTTTCCACTCTTTTTTTAATTTCTAATTATGTGTAATAAGAAAATAAAACAAAAATAAATCCCAATGTTTGATTAAAGTATATCTTATCTTATCTTATAATGAACCAAACAATAAAATATAAGAAAAGAGAAAAAATAAGCTGTGACTGTGACTTTAGATTTCTCACACATTTTGTGATTTACACAGATGTAAGGCCTTCTTGGATCCTTGAAAAGCTAGCTTGGATGTAGTATCTTAAATAAAATGTCTTAAAGCCTGTGTTACTAGATGTGTGCCACACAGACTAAGTAAACAGGTGTGAACTGATGTGTCTCTGAAAAGTAAACATTACGTGTTATAATAGTAATAATCTTATTCAGCGTTTACTGTTGGTTCAGTTTTGTCAGCAGGGTAAACAATGTTGCCCTTTAACTTAACTAATGTGTATCTTTCGCCTCTTCTTTAGATATGTAACCAGTATGACAGAGATGTTACTCTTTGGAGACATGAGGTTGGCCTAAATGATTGGATTTTGTTCACCACTATCACCATTTTATTTATTTATTGTTTGTTTTTTATTTATGTGTTAGTATTCTATGAAATTCTTCATTAATGTTAAATTACTCAAAGGGTCCCTGGAAGTGGCAGTCAGTTATTATATATTTCCTCCTTTACACTATTTTGAATGATGGTAGAAGAGGAACTACACTTGAAACCATTCCCAGAGAACAGGATCCTTAAAATAGAATACAATTAATTAAATGACAATACAATAAACAATCTATTTTGTATAGTAAGCATACATAAAGGGCATGTGTGAAGCCGTTGTTCTATAGCTGACAAAAAGTTCTGCAGTGTCAACAAGTACTTTGCTCTTGACTTGAACCATAAACCTTTCTTATCATGAAAACTTCCATTTTAATATATGTAAACACTTCCATGGTAGTGGTTGTTAATCAGTGTAAGAATGATTGCAATACGTTGTGGTGTTGGCAGCCATACAATAGTGTACAATGTTTAAGGTAGCTGGTGGTCTGCACAACTGACATACATTAACAGATTCTCTGAAGATACTAAGATACTCCCCTCCATTGTTTTATCCACTGAATGTATCAGTAAGGCTTAGCTTCCACTGGAGGGTGCTGCATTATATTATATTCCGTTATACTATTTGTTAAAACACTAAAGTAGCTATATTTAGTTCACCCAAAATAATGTAAGGTGTTTTGTTAATGTATTTGTGATGCAGGAATCATATCTGAAGTAGTTCTACTGCACCAATAAACTTTAAGTGGAAGTTGAAATTCACTGTGAAAAACAAAAAATCAATGATGTACTACTGTAGCTGTACAAAGATTTTTAAAGTATATTTTATTTTTTACAATAACATTTGCTGCAATTATCACTATTCACAGTTTTGAATATGAAAGGGCAGTGAGGTCAAACACGTTGTTTAGTGTACTGCATAATAATAATAATGATATTATTATTATTATTATTTATTTCACCCTGTTTTTATCCACTTAAAAAAAAGGCTACCATTTAAATATGTACGATTTATCCACCGAATTACCAGAAAACATGATACATTCTTAGGTTCACCTTCTTCTTCATGTATATATTGTTATCAACAAATAAAGTATTCTAGGTCTATAAGTAGGCCTACGTAATGTGACAAGGCAAATCAGCTTTATTTCAAAATGTGAGTGCAGCTTTTTAGTGGCTTATTTCTTTCAGTTCATATTTTGGGAACTCAGGGAGTCAATATCCACAGGGAATCTGAACAATTAGTCTCATACATTTGACCACGGTCCGTCAAATTCACTGGTGGAATACAGAATAATTCGTGTCTTGCAACATTATACAAATTTAAAGAGCGTGATATAAATAATTGATGTAATAGTTATAATATGTGTTTTTGAATGGAAAACGCTCCTTATTATTGCTCTCGCGTTTGAGCCTTCCGCCACACGGTAGCAGTGATGTGGCTCAGAAAGTAATCTTCCACGTCAGTAGGAAGTGGTAGGGAACTACACAGACAGCTCGCCAAAGGGAGCTCCTGGGACATGTCACAGATGTAATTATCCAAACCTGGATATCGAAGGCCACTTCGGAGGATAAAAGTCTCGCAATAAGGTAGGTAAAGTGATCCTGTTGTTGACCAAGGTGATATTTTCTCTCCCGACCCGCGGTATCTGCTCAGGCAGCTAGCTAACGTTACTGTCCACCATTTCATTGCTAGCCTGAGCAGAAGCTAAGCTGGCGTTTGCTAACATTCGCTAGTTAGCGACTAATCACATATATTAACTAAATCTAACCAATTGTATAGTCCACTTAGTAATTCATGTTTGCCTTTTATTCAGGTTTTGCCACACAATTGTTGTTGCTATCGCAGGTAGGGCCATTACAACTGTAACAGTAGCTACAGTGTTGTACCAGGGTTTTAACGCTGCGTGTCACACTTTCTGGAGTTGAGCTTCATCACCCACCTTATCGTAACCATTCCGTCTATGAAAGGGACACTTAAACTTAAACTGCCTCTTCTGTCACAATGACAGCTCTTGTCTCTGTTTTTGTGATGACAGCCATCGCGTTTTTACATAATAAAGCCGAACCTAGCAAACACTACCATTATGTAACTAACCACCTAATGTTTATTACATCTATCCAAAGACAACTCAGTATTCATTCAGCTCCTCCTTTTGTTACAACTAGGTGCTGGTGGAATCACCTGTTGGGGATGTTTTTCTGAAAGAGTTTTATAGAAGCCCCTCAAACAAATGCCTCATTGATCTAACAATCACTTTTTAGGCAACACCTGTATAATGCTAAAACATTTCGAAGATACCCTTCATTATTTTTTCTCCATTTACTGTTCCTGACCAAGTCTTTCAGGGTCTAAAGAATCCCAGAATGTTTTGAGTCAGATAATCACCCAGGACTGTTCACAAGTCTATGGCAGGGCAAACACTAACCTAATGCATTACATTCACAACTACTTAATTGATTTATTATGCATTCCTTTGAAAAGATTCTGGAAGGACCTCTGTCTGAGACAATGTCCTATAAACATGCAGTTAAATTCAGTAAATAAGTAGTGACAAAATCATTATTTTTACACTTAATAATGTTTTTTTTCCCCAGTAAAAGTAAGAATGTGAGTGATATAATAATAACTTATAACAGTTTGCCATGCCTTCTTTGCCTGCTGATGAAAATGTTAATGAAATATGACCCAACAGTGCTTTTTCCTATTTCAAGGACATGATGCTATTCAGCAAATGTATGTTGTTTGTGTCCAATGTTCATTCAGATTTTGTTCACACATT